GTTGAACTATGACAGTTCCTGTAACTACAGTAACTTGGTTTCCAGAACTAAAGTAATTTGTTTCTCTAGATTATTACCTTCCTTACCCTGTGGACCCCAAGCAACAGCCAGCCAGGAAAGATGCTTATTAATTACCAATCATTCTTTGAGTACTCACTGGTTAGCCCTAGCAATGGCCAACTGCTGGCCATAAAAGGAAACTTTTCAACATCCTTTCCTACCCCAACCCTTTCTGCCCCAAACTAACCCAGCTTGTAAGCAGACAGAAGGACTCTGATTCTTATAGAGATGATCTCTGTGTGTTTCCCCTAAATAAAGGCCTTCACTGTCTTGGGTTGCCAGTTCCCTGTCTATCTTCTCACTTTCTTCCCAGAAGAGGGAGCAGAGCTATGCTGTGCCCGTCCCTGGAGTGGCTACCTGGTTCTCAAAGGTCCCTGGTGAGCAATATATCCTTTCTCTCTCCATTCACCACATTTGGTTACTGAAAGGACCCTAAACTGGATGAACAGTCTCTACTCACATTTTCCTTTTTTACAGGGGAAAAATGTTCAGAATACTCTGGGAAGATAATTGTCCAGCCTCAGGACAGGCTTAATCTTCTTCACCCAAGCTGTTTTATCATCTATGCCTGTTAACTACTGCTCAGGCTTTAAATGTTTCCAGAATCCAATAGCACATTTGATTTTCTATTAATTTTTTTCCTAGGAGCTCTAACACAGATTCTTTCACACTTGTCTTTGAGCAACCAGGATAGTCCCCTTTGTCCACTTGGCCCTTCTCTCACCCCTCCTCTGATTGCTTTAGTATTTTAGGAACACAATTTACACGCCAATTGAAATAACTCAGATCTTCCAGAGCCTCTCCTACCTTATAAAGACCATGCCACTCCAGATGCCTCAGTCCCAAGATCCCAGCTGAATCAACTTCTTCCTTAGGTCTCTTGTGAACATGATCTTATCTGGCCAAGTAAACTGGGTATCAAATACCACCTCCTCCTTTTCAGCCCCTTCCTCTCTTGTCTTCCAGTTCCTAAGTATCATTGGGATCTCATCACATATTTTTGGGTTGGTGAGATGGTTCATTGGGTAAAAGTGCCTGCCATCAAACCTGATGACCCAAGTTTGATCCCCAGGACTTACATGGGTAAAAGAAGGGAACAGATTTTTGAAAGTTGTCCTCTGATTTTCATTTGCAGTCTGTGGCACATGCAAGTACTTACACACACACACACACACACACACACACACACACACACACACACACAAAATACAGTGGAAAAAAGAAAACCACACACATGTTCTTAGTGGCTCATATGAGCCAGTCCTGAAGACTGTGTTCTTTCAGATTATGAAGGCTTTGACTCAAGGAGGGGGGAGGCAAGTAAAACTCAGTTTCCCTGCTTCTGGTTTACTCTGCCTCATCCTGCCTTAGGAAATGAGAGCCTCTTTCACTCATTGTATAAAGTTCTCAATTCAAAAAGTTTAGATGCAGTGCATTGTCTGACTATCATAGTTTCCTAAAACTGAAACTTATTTTCCTCCACTGTCATGTTGAATCATAGTTCTCCCCTTCTATATTAAAGATCACTTCTGCATCACTCACTCCCTTCTCACTATGTGATACTTTTCCATGAGTTTGAGGTCTTTGGATCTCAAGAAGGGCTCTTTGCATTTATATATATTTCCCTTGCATCCTTTTACATATGAAGAAATGTCAAGCCAACACCTTCCTTTCACCTTTCATGTTTTCCACTTTCTTTGCTAAATGACAGTCTATGGAACATTTTGGTTAATTGAACTTTTCATTTTCAACATTTCAGTTTGGTATTTCTGATTATTGTATTTCCCTTTCCTCTGTGGACTTCATTAACTCATGTTAGTGTTATGTTGAAAGTCAGTAAGGAATTTGCATCCTGTTTGACTTCTTTGACATATGTGGAGTTATTCTTTTGATCTCACTCTCCAGGATTTCATCTTGCATTGGAGGCCATTATTGTGGGGTTAGTAATTTTTAGAGGAGTTGTGTTACCCTGGTTTTTGATGTTTACTGTACTTTTGTGTTGAAGCTTGTTTATACTGGGTTAAATGATTTGTTGGACTTCTGAAAAAAAAATCATGTGGATTCAGTGGAACTGTTTGCAATGTTTAGGAGTGACTAGGTTGTAGTAGGGTTGGGATGTTTGTTACCTTTGCCATACAGTGTTTGGATTCCTGGGCTAACTGTTCAATATACCTATGATAGTGGAATACTGTCTGCAAAAAATAATCATTACCTACAGGCATGTCCACTATGAACATACAGTAATAGTAATAAAAAAACCCCACCACAACAACAATCCTATCATCCCTTGAATACCAACCATTTTAGGAAATGATGAAATATTCCAAGTTCTCCACAACTACATCAGTTATAATGGTTAAGTGGGAAGGAACAAAAGAAGTGATTAGTGTTGGACTGCTAGAAAAACAGTAGAGAAGGGAAAAGGAAACAGAAGTGGGAACAGGAGGAACAGGGAGGGGAGGGGGCATTTTGTTTAAAAAGAAATTGAAAGAGAGAAGTAAAGAAATGCATTTAGATGATATAAAACAGTCCCAGCCCTCAGGAGGCTGAGACACAGAGACCCTGCAAACCAGGCCAGCCCACATTTTTTGGATAAGTTCTGAAAAGGAGAATAGATAAGGAAAGAGTAGAGACAATAAATGCAGAAAAAACAGAGAAAAGAATAGAAAAAAAAGAGATAAAAAGAGAAGACAGAGCAGGGCCTGCTAAATGGCATTAGGCTTTAAATAAAGTGAGGGACTAGAAGCTAGCCATATTTTGGTCAGGTAGATAGATAGGAAAAGTGCCACTGATAAGCAATGAAGATGGAATACTTCTTCTTCTTGGCTTGAGACAAAGCCCCCTCACCCCCCACTACCCCCAGCCAGTAGGTCCTCTTTCGAGTGTACCAGTCTAGACCAGTTCAGATAAGACCAAGGCCAGATCTGGACACCTCCTCATTTGTTTTGTATTTTTTGTTTGTTTGAGATAGTTTCTCACTATGTAGTGGTGACTGGCCTGGAACTTACTATGTACCCCAAACTGCTTCAAACTCACAGAGATCTGCCTGCCTCTGCCTTTGCTGGGATTAAAGGCATGTGCCATCATGCTTGGCTTTACACCTCCTCATTTGAAGCCATAAACCTATCAGTCTTCTCTGTTTAAGTTGACCAATCCAAAATTGGGGGGGGGGTCACTAAAACCCTTAAAAACCAAGCCCTCCCAGGGGCCTTGGATTTTGGTTTTTGAATCCCCTCCCCACTTATGGAGAGCCTTTTTCTCTGTGTGAGTGAGAATCTTTATCTTCCAATAAAAACTGTTTGCCTGTTGCTCTCTGCTGTATTAATTTTTTTTTTTTTTTTGGTCTTTTTGAGACAGGGCAGAGAAAAAAAAAACAACTATAACCTGTAGGCAGTGACCAGCTTATAACCAGTAACGAAGGAGTCATAAATGTGAAGGAGAGAAAGAGAGTGGATGAGGAGCTTAAGTGTAAATGCAGGGGACTGGAGAGAAGGCTCAGCTAAGGTTAAGAGTTTGTATTGATCTTGCAGAGGACCCAAGCTCTTCCCAGCTCCCAAGTCTGGTGGATCACAACCACCTGTAACTTCAGCTCCAGGGGATCCAACACTCTCTTTTGGGCTCTGCAAGCACATACAATACATAGGCACACATGCATGCACTCACACACGCACACATAATTTAAAACAATAAAAATAAATCTTAAAAACAGTATATGGGCTGGAAAGCTGCCTCAGCAGTTAAGAGCACTTGCTGCCCTCTCAGATGAGGGGAGTTTGGTTCCCAGCATCCACATCTGGTGGCTGACAACTGCCTCTAACTCCAGTTCCAACAGATTAGATGCCCTTTTCTGTCTCTTGGGCACCCTAACACACATGGCATACACACATAAATTAAAAATAAGCATTAAGAAAAATGCATAGTTGCAGTCTAGTTGGCTTGCTGGCTCTAGTCTCGAGTCCTTCACCTCTCTTTCTTGGGCTCTTTTGCCTCTAAAACAACATCCAAAATACATGTATCTTGTAGCTCCCCTGATTCTGTTGCAAACCTGCATTCTCTCACTTGGCTCACTGGAGGAGCCTCCTCCCAGCTGGCTGCTTCTTTCCTGTTCTCCTACAATTCCTTCTCCTGCCAGAGTAGCCTTTCAAATCTAATCTTCCTCTTCATTCAAGCCTTCCTGTCTTGTACAGATTCAAGTAAGTCCTTACCCCTTTGACCCTGAAGTACTCTCATCCTCTCCTTGTGAGCTAGCCCTGCCACCCTAGTTAGGCCAGCCCTCACGCTGGCAGGAGTTACTGCCATGGAACTGCTCTCTGGAGCCTTCTAGGTGTGTGTTGGGTGTCCTGGAGCTCCACAGAGTTCTACCTAACCCTTGCACTCTGAACACCCTTTGTTTGCTGGAAGTCTTAAGAATGACTCCATGTCCCTCCATTCCCAAAATGCATTGCTACAGAAATGCGTGTGTGAGCCAGTAGTGGTGGGGTGGGTTCAAGGAACACTTTCTAAATGGCAAACAGAATATGAACCCCCAGGCACAGAGACCTTGGTGACAACTATCAACGGGGGGGGGGGGGGGAGTGGCGGTGCACTGGAAGCTGAGCTAAATGGGGAGAGCTCACATGAAACTCATCCTTTTCCATGGCAATAGAGGCTAGCTGGTGTCTCTGAGTTGTCAAAGACTAAACTTCTGCCTATTTAATTCCATGTAAAATGCCATAGAGTTTCCCCCCTTTCATAAGGAAAGAGAGGCTGGAGGAAACTCCTGGTGTTTAATTTAAAGATTCGGACTCAGCTAGGAAAATTTGTCTTTGGAATGGAGATTTGCGTTTCACTCAGCCAGGAAGGGAATGCCTTTTCTGTCACTCAAGCATTAGGAGGCGGGTCCACGGCTTACTGGTGCCGAATGAACTGTCCAATGAGGAGTCCAGGTCTTGGGAGAGGGATGCTACACAGCACTTGGGGTGCCACTTTCCTTCCGCCATATTAGACTGTGTCATCCACCAGAGAGACCTCTGGTTTCTTCCGTTGGAACCCGCGACTCCTCCACGGACTGCAGGAGCCACAGGAGCCCAGGACTCCGTCGCTGGAAATGGTGCGTGCGGCCGGGCGTCCTCTCCTGGGTGTCGCGCCGAGGCTGCTGCAAGCGGAGGTGGGGACGCGGCCTCCCCGCGGCAGCTCAGTCTGCGGCTGAGTCTCCTCTGGCTCGGCTGGGCCTCGCTCCCGGGTCCCGCTGGGTGGAGCTGGGCCAGCAGCAGAGCCGCGGACCTGGGCACTGCTGAGCGCTCACTGCAGCGGCCTCTGCGCAGCTGGGCGTCCACATAACCGGGTGTCCGCAGCCTGGGCGGTGGGGGCGGAGGGTCGTGGGAGACTCGGGACTCGGGTGGGGTCGCGTGGGAGGAGCCGCGGGGTGTGCTGACCTCGGGTCCTGAGCGTTTTATGTCAGTAGCAGACAAGCACGTTTGTGGCTTTCCACAATGTCAAAATTTATTGAATAATGAATAAAATCATAAGCTGTGTGCCTGCCAGTTGCAGGCAAGGATTTTGCTTGCTCTCTGGCAATCACATAGATTCTTATCTAATTACTAATTTTACCTGGCAGATCACGCATTAAGTTTTCACACAACGATACACAAATGTGTAGGTTACACAATGACTAAGAAAGAGGTAAAGAGGACACAGAGTTCAGAGAGCGTCATGATGTAGGAGGTCCAGAGGGGAGACTGGCCCAAGGAAAGTCTGTAGGGGAGCAAGTAAGAATCTTGCCAATGCAGTCTCAGAGACGAGAAATGTAGGTGTGCGGGACAGGCTGTTAGATGGTAGCAGGGAGCTGGAGCCCTGGGCTAGAGGAAGCAGTCCTCTGTGGTCAGTTTCCTGGCTCTTGACAATTGACCCTGTGGTCACTCAATGTGCCTGCCACACTTTGGTCCTGGGGTGCTCCTTCTATAGTCTCAGGTGAGGGAGTTAATGTGGTTGATAAGCTCATGTAGCTAGTGATATGATTTTGTATAGTTCCAGGTGTCATATGTTGATATAGCCAGTTTGCATGTCCTGTTTTGCTGGCAGATGGTGGTTGTTTACTCCTCCCTCTTCTTCTAGCTTTTGCACTTAAAATTGTACCAACTCTGGTCAAAATTGTTGCTGAATAAAGTGGAGTCATTTTAGGCTTGGCAGACTTGGAAAGCTAAAAATCCCCACAACACAGAGTAATCCTGAGCAGTCAGCACTGTCTTCCTTACTCTGCCTCTCCTTCACCTCAGAGGCATCTGTTTTTCCTGTTTTTCAGATTCAAGAGAAGCTTCTTCTATATTCCATGAGCTCTGCACTTAGGCCAAAAATTCGTAGTACTGACTATAAATCCCTGAACTTCCAAGTACTTCTGACATTGCCAAACTCACTGGAAAGAGGGATCCATATGCATGGGTGGTTATGTTTGTGTGGGGTTGGGTTTAGACTCTCTCCTAACTGTTACTGTCCTTGGATGTTTCTAGACATTGCCTTTTTGTTTTAAAATGTTGTTTATTTATTATTATGATGTGTGCTTGTGCCACAGTGTGTATGTGGAAGGAAGAAATCAACTTTTTGGAATTGGTTCACTCTGTGTTTACATAGATTCTAGGAATTCAGGGATTGAACTCATGCTTTGAGGTTTATGTAGCAAGCACCTTTACCCCCTGAGCCATCTCTCCAGTCCTTAGACATTATTTTAAAAACACAGAGTCCTGATAGAGGTAGGCTGTGACTGTATGTTGCATTAGGTGAAAGCCTTATGTACTGGGTCCACAAGACTCCCCATGCTTAACCCAAGAGGGCTTTTCAGACATGACCCTCTTCTGAAATTTTGACTGGCTTGAACTTGTGCTGGTCTTGTACAAGCAACCACAGCTGCCATGAGTTCATGTATGCAATAGCCCTGTCACATCTGGAAAACAGATTTTCAGCAGTACTCCCCAATTTCTGGTTCTTACAGTCTTTCCTCTCCCTTTTCCACAATGATCCCTTTCAGAAGAGGATGTGATACAGGTGTTCCATTTAGGGCATAGCACGGTCACTTATTCTCTGTACTATGACCAATTGTGGGTCTCCATATTAACTGCCATCCACTACAAAAAGAGGCTTCTTTCATGAGAGTTGAAAGCTGCACTAATATATTGGTATAAAGATAAGTATTTGAAGGCAGCTTGATACTATGTCAATTTAGGAAAATAATAGAAATAAGTTCTCTCCTAGAGCATATGCCCTCCCCAGCCACAGGCTCTTGGCCTGGTTTACAGCAACAGGCATGAGATTCCTCCTGTGCTATGTCTTAAGTCCAATTCAAAACTCTGTTGGTTCCCCCCATAACATTCATGCCATTATTGCACCAATGGGCATATCTTGCCAGAAGGGTTTTAACTATAACTTTCAGGGTCACAGCTGGAAAAGACGGTTGAAGACTTTTCTTCCCCAGAGGCATATACAACACCTTTGGGGCTATGAAAGCCAGCCAGTAGGAATGAAGACTACAGATCAGTTCCAGCTTGATTTCCCCATGTCTTGTGTCTCAAATATGTGGTGTTTTCAGCAGTAATATCTTACTATCAAGTTCTGATGGGCAATCAAGAGCAATGTGCTAGGCTGCTTAGTCGTTGGAATGAGAAGTGCTTCCCATAGGATCAAGTATTTAAACACTTGTTCCTGAGTTGGTGGCACTGTTTGCGGAGGTTTAGGAGATGTGGCCTTGCTGGAGAATGAAAGTCCCAGAAGGTGGGCCTTGAGAGTTCATAGCCTTGTTCTACTTCCAGTTCACTCTCTCTGCTTTCTGCATGTGGATGGAGATGTGATCTCTCATCTTGATCCTGCTGCTTTCTACCATGCCTTCCTGCATGATGGAATCTTATTCTTCTGAATGTATAAGCCATAACAAACTCTTCTGTAAGTTGCCTTTGGTCATGGTGTTTTATCACAGCAACAGAAAACTAATACAGCTTATGTTAGAAAATTTTGATTTTAAAGACACAGAGCTTCCCCTAATCTGTAAGAAGGCAGTGACAGTTTTCTTTTAAAATGAGATTTCTTTTTTTCTCTTTATACTCCTTTATTGGTCATGGTAAGAACCTTGAAAAAAGTGATGCTTTTGCATTTTATTTTTATTTTTCATAGAGGAGAGAGAATACAAATGGCAGGAAATTGTTCTCATAACTTAATGACAGAATTGTAAGTCAAAATTTATCTGGAACCTGGAAGATATGCTACTTTTTCTTTTTGAAAAAATAACATAGTGCTTTTAAATATTACATAGAATGTAAGCCTACCTATATGCTGGAGGTAACTGTTGTGGCTGTATCTCCTGTAATTTCCATAGTGAAAAGGCCATTAATTGTAAATCGATGAGACAAATGTATTTCAGGGCAAGCCAATAAAAAGCAAACTTGGAGATTTATTTTATTTTGATTAATTAATTAATTTTGTGTATGAGTGTTATGCTAGCTTGTACGTAAATACACCTGGGTTCTACAGTGCCCGAGGAGGCCAGAAGAGGGCACTGAATCCCCTGAACTGGAGTTATGGATAGTTGTTAGTCACCATGTGGATGCTGGGATTGGAACCAGGGTCTTCTACAAGAGCAGACAGTGCTCTTAACTGCTGAGCCATGTCTCTGTCCTGAAAGTTGAATATTTATTAAGAGACATTTTTAACTTAGATATTAAACACAGAGGTTATTAGAAAGAGAAATGTCCAGGAAATAAATAAGACAAACCCCTGTGTGGGCATCAGCTTCTCAAGGGACAGTCTCACTTAAGTACCTTCACAATGGATATATATATATATATATGATTTGGGTGACTTTCAAGCTACATTTCTAATTTTGTTAAGACATGCTCCCCCTCCCATGTTTTTAACATTGCTCAAAGAGTGTAGTTTATGAGGCTAAAAGTATAATAAATTTTTTTCTGCAAATAAAGTTGTAAAGTGGTTTTACGAGGGGTGATATTTAGGTTGGTAGTGACAGAGGAGTTCTGGAAACATAAGTTACAGGCCATTTTTATCATTTTGAATCTATTGAGCCAAATTTCTTCTCTTTGACAAGATGTCTTTAGGAAAACATATGACATCTGTAGAAGCAATTTTGGCTTTACCATTGGTGCCTGGTTTTCTCATCAGGGGGAAAGGCAAACCTGCCCTGGAATCAATGGCCTGTTTTCTTCCTGGTGCTTTCCCTCCCACATCCCCATAATTTCCCTGTCTTTCTATCTTGCTTCACTTAACGCTTCCTTTTTGGCATTGGAAAGATCCTTTTCTTCTGAATAAAACTAATTCACAATGTAAAATCCTTACTTATCTGAAACCCTTTACATTTTTTTTTAATATTTGATTATTTTTATTTTATCTGTATGAGCATATTGCCTGCATGTATGTGAGTGCGCCCATGTCATGCAATGCTGCAGAGGTCAGAAGAGGGTTTCAGATTCCCCTGGAACTGGAGTTAAGGACGGTAGCTCTTGCAGAGGACCCAGGTTCGATTCCCTTTACATGTTTTTAAGCTTTGTATAAAAATATGTCTCGGGGCCAGTGAGATGACTCAGTGGATAAAGGTATTTTCCATGAAGGCTGACCACCTGAGTTCTATTCCTGCAGCCTATATGGTGGAGAGAAGTAACTCCTGAAAATTGTCCTTCGAATTCCATAGGCATACCATGGAACATGTGCCCTTTCCCCAATAAATAAATATGATTAGAAACAAAAAGAAAAGAATATATCCTCACACTTATATCCTTTTTTAAATATTTCTCTCCTACTGACTAGGTCATTTTTATTTTATTTAGTATTATAAGAAATAAGGATCCTTATTGTAACTAGGTTTTAATTTTTTTAAATTATATTTATTTATTGATTAGCTGATTGATTGGGGGTTGCATATGTGTCATGGCATCTATGTGGAGGTCAGAGAGAGTGAGTTCTTTACTTCTACCATGTGGGTTCTGGGGCTCCAGCTTGGATCATCAGGCTTGCAGGAGACACCTTTACCCACTGAGCCATCCTGTGGGGCTATTTTCTGTTTTGATTTGTTTTTTAAGGATTGTTTTATTGTGTTTTTTTTTTTTTTTTGGTCTCACAAAAATATTGCTTCAAGCTCATTTTGGACTCATTATGGCCGAGTAGCCATGAACCTGAAACATTCTTGCCTCAGCTTCCCAGGTGCTGGCATTACTTTTGTGCATAATTTTAGTCAGGTTGACTATCACTTTTAAGTCTTTGGATGTTTGACTGCAGTGTATCATGTAGAGGGAAGTATAATGATGTTCACAAGTATACACCCATGCCCTCAGTGTGTAGATATGGTGATTTACTGTGCCATCTCTATAATTAATCAGCTTTTCTCCTTTAAGATGGCTAATGAAAGACTGACTCCCTTTATACATTGTATTTGTCCTTGTCAGTATTAACAGTGTAGTGTCTTAATTATTGTAGTTTTAGTCTTTCAATTATGTTAGACAAATATGGTTTTCATCTTTTGATTATGTTGTCAAGTTATAATATTTCAGTACAAAATATTCTTTTGTACTGAAAAAGTATTAAATGTGATTTGACATTGATTATAGCTACTTTGTTGGATAAAACAGATTTTATTATATTCACTTTTTGTCTTAGTTAATTTTCTAGTAGCTGAGATGAAAACAAAACAAAACAACCCCTGCCCCAAGGTGGGTGTGATGGCACATATGTTTAATATCAGCACTCAGGAAGCAGAGGCAAGCAGATCTTGACTATGAGTTTGAGGCCCCCGAAGGCCACATAGTGAGACCCTGTTTTAAAACAGACAACAAGGAAAGAAAGAGAGCGAGAGAGAGAGCGAGAGAGAGTGAGAGTGAGAGAGAGTGAGAGCGAGAGCGAGAGCGAGCGAGCGAGAGAGAGAGAGAATGGCAAAAATAATTTAAGGAGAATAATGTAATAATTTAAGGCTTTATTATGGCTCATAGATCAAGACTACGGTCTATCATTATGGGGAACTCAAGGCTGCAAGAACTTGAAGCAGCTGCTCACATCTTACATCCATAGTCAGGAAGCAGAGTGATGAATGCTAGTTATTATGGCCCTTTCTTCATTTTGTGTAGTCCAGGATCCCCTGCCTAGGGAATGATCTTTCCTGCCTACAATTAAGATGATGTTCATATATTCATCAATGTAATCAATATAGTCCGTCAGAGACATTCTCAGAGGCTAACCAGTCTAGCTAATACCTCACAGGTATGCATAGAGGTTTATCACTAGATGATTCTAGATTCTGTCAAGTTGGTAATTAATACTGACCATCACCTAAACACATCACTTTTGAGTTATAACTTTCCATCCCTTATCCCACAGGGTCATGACCATCTTGCAGTGTAAAATGCATTTAGCCCAACATAGAAAACTTCCTGAACTCATTAACAGTTTAAACATTTAAAAAATCTGAAGTATCTTTAAAAAAATGTTTTATTTATTTTTATTTGTACAAGTGCTTGATTACCATTATGTTTACTGGTATGTGTGTAGTGTCTGGAGGTGGCTGGAAGAGAGTGACAGAGCCACATTATGGGAGCTGGAAGTTGAACCTGGGTCCTCTGAAAGAACAGCAAGTGCTCTTAAGTCCTGAGCCACCTCTCCAGCCCCAAGTCTGAAGTATCTTAACTGTGAGCTCCTACAAAATAAAGAACATGTTATGTACTTCCAACATATAAAGGCAGAGTAAAGCATTCCTATTGCAAAATGGAAGAAATAGGGCATAGCAAGGAATGACTGACTCAAAGAAAGACCCAAATCCTGCAAGGCAAACACTAAATCCTGCAGCTTCATGCCCATCTGGTGTAATTGACTGGATTCCTGTTGATTAGTTAGGTAGCCCCACCACTCTAGCTCTGCCACCTGCAGCACACATAGACTGCCTCTTGGACTGGCTCTTCTCCATGCCTGTAGCTCACCTTGGCAGCCATCCCAAGGTTTTGACATCTCCAATATCCTGGAGTCTCCAGTGCCACTTAAGCTTCACTTTCAGAGCTTCACATAGTGACAACTTGAGGCCTCCTTGAGAGGACTTTCTTGCATGGTGCCTGGCCTCGGTTACCCTCTATGATTTCCGCACCTTGCATCCTTCATCCCTTCAGAACCATGTGGATGACAGTGCCAAGTTCTGCTGCCACCTCAGGGTGGAGCTTCTGATGGATGTGGTTTTATACTCAGGACACCTTTCCTGTTGTCCCACTGTACCTCAGAACATTTTCCTCCAGTGGCCCTGACTTTATCAATTACAGCTACTTTCTTGGCACTGTTGTCTTTCAAGAATGTCCCATTCAGCTCTTTCAGCATTCAAGGACTTCTTTAACCCAAAATTCCAAACTGTCCACATTCTCACATTAACCATACCTAAAGCCTAACACCAAATGGTCTTGTTCATCACAGCAACAGCCCCACTTCAGGGTGCCAGTTTTCTGTCTCAGTTTCTTTTCTTGTTGCTGAAGAAAATCAGGAGCTTGAAGCAACTGCTTATATCATTCAATCAAGAAGCAAAGAGTGATAAATGGCTGCACTGCTCAGTTCTCTTTCTCCATTTTATAATTTAGGATGTCTTGCCCAGGGAATGGTAATCCTTAGAGTTAAAAGGTTTGTTCCCACATCAGTTAATGTAATCAAGATAATCCCTCATAGATTTCTTTGAGGCTAATCTTAATCTACATAATCCCTCATTGGTGAGTCAGAGGCTTGTGATTCAAATGTTATCAAATGACAATTAACATTAACCATCACACTTCTTAAAAGTTTGTTGTAGAAATTATAGAATTTTCTACATGCACGTGTGTATTGGCATGATGGTGAGTTAGAGCAATTTTTTCTGTTTTTGTTTTTTTTTGAGATAGGGTTTCCCTGTAGCCCCAGCTGTCCTGGAACTCACTATGTAGACCAGGCTGGCCTGAACTCACAGAGATCTGCCTGCCTCTGCCTCCTAAGTGCTGGGATTAAAGGCATGCACTGCCACTCCTGGCTGAGTTAGAGCAATTTTAAAACATGTACCATCCTCCTTATTTCATTGTCTATTGACAATCTCCAATAAAAAATGTAATATTAATTCATTAGTATAGTGAATTACCCTTAATTGGTCCTATATAAGTCCTGTATAAATCTAGTTACTGTGACAAGAAGAAGTTTTAAAGGAAGAAAAGCTTATCTTGGCTTATGTTCAGGGATATAGACCATCATGCAGGGAAGGCATTTCAGGAGACTCAGGAGGTGCAGGAGGCACCTAGTCACATTAGGTTTGCCATCAGGAAGCAGAACACTGAATGCTGGTGCTCTGATCTCTGTGTCTTCTGAATATGCTGGGTTCTAAGCAGATAGCTTGTCTCTTTCGACCTTGTGGAAAATATTGCAAAGATTCTGAGGGAAACTATCGTTATGAAAGTAGCATGTCATCATCAACTGCTGGTTGATGTGGGGAGGAATCCCACTGAATAGCTGGTCCCAATACCAGGAGAAGTAGAATATTTTCTTTAGCATTTTTAAAATATGCAGTCTTGGGAAACCTAGTGTTGACTCTTTTATTAGATAAATAGGTAATCAGAATTTATGGTGGATGTTGTTACAGTGACTCAGTGTACAAACAGAAAATTAGCACAACCTATGAAGACAAAGATGATGATCTGTTCTGCTGCTGCTTTACCAGAGAGCTCCACTCTACTGTCAGAACTGCTGTGTGAGGGACTATGTATGAACAGTGAGAGTGTGATGATCAAGACGTGATATGACCTGAACAGGCATATAACATTGTACCATGTCAACTTTTTTTAAAAACATTTTTTATTTATTATTTTTATTTTATGTGTATGCGTGTATTGCCTGCATGTAGGTAAGTGTCCGTGTCATGCAATGCCCATGGAGGACAGAAGAGGCTGTCAGATCCCCTGGAACTGGAGTTACGGACAGTTGTTAGCTGCCATGTGGGTGCTGGGATTTGAACCTGGGTTTTCTGCAATAACAAGCAGTGTTCTTAACCACTGAGCCATCTCTCCAGCCCCATATGTCAACTTCTTATGACTTAAGTCTAGATCTCCAGTACTGTGTTACTCACACTTCCTTGTGGAAATGTATGTGGGCTGTTTTAGGAGTCAGTGACCTTTGAGGATGTGGCTGTGAACTTTACTCTGGAGGAGTGGGCTATGCTGAATCTATCCCAGAAGAGCCTCTACAAAGATGTGATGCAGGAAACCCTGAGGAACCTGGTTTCTATAGGTAAATATGTCATTATTCTTTTAGTCAATAAGAGAAAAAGTGCTTCTTCATGACTTGAAATATGGTAAAGAAACAATTGGATAAATATATGTGATTGTGTCATTTCATACCATAAATTTAACTAGAAACGAATATTTTTACTATAATTTCATAATTCATAATTTTTTTGGTTCTATATTTTAGAGAACAAATTGGAGCATGATGACATAGAAAATAAATACTCAAATCCCTGGAGCCAACTAAGGTAAGAGATAGCCCCAAGAGATAACCATGTTCTGCAAGTGTTGTGGCATGACTGAACAATTTACAACAAAGTAAAAGATAAGTATATATCCAGCCTCAAACTGTTAATCTCAGGAAATTTTCTCCAAAATTACAAACATATTTAGCATCAGTAGTCTTAAAACATTCCAGATGATGCCAAAATTGATACATCTTCATGCTTCATGTATACCAACTTTGCTCCAGAAATAATATTATTAAAATTGAAATCTTGATTTACCTATAAGCTTGGGAGCATAAATAAGGTTTCTTTTTAGAGTGGGATGAATTACTAACATATCTCATTACTGACATTCAAGTAGTTCAAAATGAAGCATGATTTGGGGACATTAGTATTATGCATCAAAATTGTGTACCATATTGGGGCAGGGCATGGTGACACATTATTTTAATCCCAGCACTTGGAAGGCAGACGCAGTCTCTGTGAGATTGATCCAGTCTGGCCTACGAAATGAGTTCTAGGACAGATGGGGGATACAGGGAGACCATGCCTCAAAACAAATTGTGGAGAACTGAAGAGATGGCTCAGTGGTTAAGAGCTCTTACTGCTTTTTCAGAGGACCCAGTTTCAATTCCTAGCATCCACGTGGTGGCTAACAACCATCTGTAACTCCAGTTCCAGGGGAATCCAATGCCCTCTTCTGACAGCTGCAGGCATTGCACCACGTGGATGCACTTATGTACATGGAGGCAATACAACTCATACATATAAAATAATATAAAAATAATAAATGTTTTTTAAATTGTGCACAGTATTAGTATTGAAATGTGTATTTAAATGTGTCATCAACTTGTTTGCCAAACATGTAGATAGTATAACACTTATGGAGTCAACTATTTGTAGCTGTCCTCAAATCAAGTTGCAGAGTATTCAGTTCAAACATGTTAAAAAATTCTCATAGAGCATAGAACTAATGTTTATTTCTACTGGTAAATAAATCATTTATAAGCAAAATCTTGATAAAGCCCATTTTCTTTCTTGCAGCTGTCAAGTGGTAGAGAAACTCTGTGAATATAAGGAAGGTCATCAGTGTGAAGAAATCTTCAACTTCGCTACAGAGGGCATTGTGAAGCAAAACTCTTATTCAGGAGTACATGTATGTGAGAATAGTGGGTGTGCAAAAGTAGTCATTGGCCATGTGTCTCTAAGTGTGCTCCTTAAACCTAACTTTGGGCACAGATCATATGAAGATCAGGAATATGGAAAGGAACTGTATGAAAATAAGGAATTTGGGAACATCTTCAGTTCTCCCTCATCCTTTCAGATGTATAAAAGCACTCACCCTGGAGAGAAATGGTATGAAAATAAGCAGTGTGATGAAGACTTCAGACTTGGTCAAAGTCATGAAAAGAGTTCCACTGGAGAAAAACACCATGAATGTAATCTATGTGGGAAACTTTTCAGTTCTTCCAGGTACTTGCGAAGGCATGAAAGACGTCACCGTGCAGAGAAATCTTACGTATGTAAGCAATGCGGGAAAGCTTTCAGTTTTCCTGCATACCTACAAACACATCTAAGAATTCACACTGGGGAGAAACCCTATGTGTGTAACCAGTGTGGGAAAACTTTTGCTTGTTCCAGTTCCCTTAAAACACATAAAAGAACTCATATGGTTAAAGAGCCTTACGTGTGTAATCACTGTGGGAAAACTTTTCGTCATTCCAGTTCTCTTCAAAGTCATACAAGAATTCACACTGGAGAGAAACCTTATGTATGTAATCAGTGTGGGAAAGCCTTCATTACTTCTAGTTACTTTCGTATACATGCCCGAATTCACACTGGAGAAAAACCTTATGTATGTAAACAATGTGGGAGTGCTTTCATGCGCTGGATTCAATTGCGAAAACATGAAGTATTTCACAGTGGCATATATCCCTATGTTTGTAACCAGTGTGGGAAAGGTTTCACTTGTTCCAGTTCTGTGAAAACACATGAAAGAATTCACACTGGGGAGAAGCCCTATATATGTAATCAGTGTGGGCAAACTTTTACTCGTTTGAATTCCCTTTTAAGGCATAAAATAATTCACACTGGTGAGAAGCCGTATGAGTGTAATTATTGTGGGAAAAGTTTTCCCCGTTCTGCTTCCCTTCAAAGGCATATTAGAATTCACACTGGAGAGAAACCCTACATATGTAAGAAGTGTGGGAAAGCCTTCATTGCTTCTTCTGACCTTCTAGTACATGAACGAACTCACACTGGAGGAAAACCTTATGTATGTAAGCAGTGTGGGAATACTTTCATGAGTTGGACTCAGTTTCAAAGACATAAAGTAATTCACAGTGGCATGAATCCCTATGTTTGCAAGCAATGTGGAAAAGGCTTCATTCGTTCCAGTTGCCTACGAATACATGAAAGAATTCATACTGGCGAAAAGCCCTATGTGTGTAAGCAGTGCGGGAAAACTTTTACTCGTTCCTATTCCCTTCAAAGACATAAAAGAGTTCACACTGGTGAGAAGCCCCATGTCTGCAAGCAGTGCGGGAAAGCTTTCACTTATGACAGCCATGCTCGATTACATGAAAGAATGCACGCTGGAGAAATGTGGGAAGACTTTTCGAGGTTCTTGTTCTTTTCGACAACGTGAAAGGACTCACTCACTGGAGAGAAACCATGTGTGCTTGCAATATGAAAAGCCTTTCATTTCTGACCATTACCTTTGAAAACATAAAATAACGAATCCTGGAGAGAACCCCTATCTACATAAGCAATGTGGGAAAGCCTCCCAATTAAGAAAACATAAAGTAACTAATATTGACATTGAACTTATGTAAGCAATGTGGGAAGATTTTTGCCCTTTCTGGTACCTTTCAAACTTGTGAAAGGACTCACACTAGCGATAAGCCCTATGTGTGCTTATAATGTGATAAAGTGTTCAGTTGTGACTGTGCTTTTCAAAAACAAAATGATTCATACTCGAGAGAGAAACCATGTGTATGAAAGCAATATGGAAAATCATTCAGTCATTCAAGTTCTCTTCATTACCATGCATTGATGCATAGTGGAGAAAAACCCCATAAGTGCAAAAAAATTTGGGAGAGGCTTTAGATCTCCTAGTCACCTCAACATGTATGAGCATACACTGGAAAGAAGCCTAATGTATATAAGCAATGAAGAAAAGCCTTTGACTCATTTACAGAGACATGAAGTAATTCACAGTGGCATGAATTCCAATGTTTGTAAATAATGTGAGGAAATCTTTTGTTGATCTCGTAGCTTTCACAGAAAGAAGCAAAGCTGCACTGGAGAAAAACTATTTTTGTGCTAGCAATGTGGGAAAACCTCTTGTATGTTTGGTTTCTTGAAAAAACATGAAACAAATCACAATGTGGAAATTGTTTTTATGCTAAAAGTTGCCTGAAGTACATGAAAGAAGCCACAGTAGACAAAAGCCCTGTGACTGTAAGCAATATGGTAAAGCCTTCTGTAGTTCGAGATCCTGGAGAAGACGAGAAAGTTCACACTGCAGAAAAACCTGTGTGTATGTGTATGCAATGTAGAAAAAGCCTTTAGTTCTTCCCTGTTCTCTCCAAATATATGGAAGTAGTCACTATGTTGAGAAACCCTTCATATCTAGGCAGTTTTGGAAAGCATTCATTTATCACACATCCTTTCACATGCATGAAACTGTAGTAACTTTTAATGAAGAATTTTCAAAGGCTTCATTATCACCCTGATAGCACTCACAAGAACATGGGAAGAAACTCCAAAATGAAAAGTATATGTGAACATCTCTTGGTTCAAGTCACAGATAAAGAACATGGATTAGAGTGCTAATTTGTTTGAAAGAGACAAACTTTCATTTGACATACATACGCAAACCCACACCAGTTGAAAACCTTTGCTGTTGAAAAGCACAAAAAAGTCAACAGCAATAGAGAATATAGGGAAAAGTCCTTTGAAAATTCTTCATTTTAATTTGATAAATGTCAATAATATGAAGGACTGGACACTTTTTTTTTTTTTTTTTTTTAAGAATGCTGCAGAAAACACACATTCTGAATGGAATGTTACCAAAATTTTGTGTTCGTTAAGAATTTTGGGGGAGCCGCCAGGCTTGGTGGCACACTCCTTTAATCCCAGCACTTGGGAGGCAGAGGCAGGTGGATCTCTGTGAGTTCAGGGCCAGCCTGGTCTACATAGTAAGTTCCAGGCAAGCTGGGGCTACAGGGACACCCTGCCTCAAAAAAGAGAAAAAAAAAAAAAAAAAAAAAAAAAAAAGAAAAAAAAAATTGGAGGGGGTGGGGGCTGTAGAGATGGCTCAGCAGTGAAGAGCACTTTCTGTTCTTCCAGAGGACCCGATATCACTTTGCAGCATCCACATCAGGCAGTTCACAACTGCCTGTGACTCCATCTTCAGGATGAAGTGCCCTCTTACGGCCTCCTGAATTCATGTGGCATACATTCACATATACACATAAAAAAAAAATTTTGAAGAATTTGATTTTGCTTTTGTTTTTCAGAAAAAGCTTTTGCCATGTATCTCAGGTTGACCCAGAACTGATAATCTTCCTCCTTTTAGCTCTTGAATGTTTAATGAAAGGTATCTGAATCCACATCCACCATCAGTAGCTCATTCTTTTTTTGTTTGTTTTTTGAGACAGTGTCTCCCTGTAGCCCTGGCTGGTCTGGAACTCACTAGATAAACCAGGCTGGCATTGATCTCACAGAGATGTGCTCTGCTTCCTGGGTGCTGGGATTAAAGGTGTGTGCCACCATTTTCTGCAGTCATTCTTAAGAGTAAATCTCTGGACTGGTATTTATAAATTTTTAGTCTACAAAATAAGCATAACCACAGAACATAGGGTAGAGTAATAGCTCAAACCCATGAATTGGTGCCAGTATGGTCTACATCTGAAGGAACAACAGCAATTAAATGTACACCATCATGAATTAATTTTGTAAGGTTTCTTAGCTGTACAACTTGCTGGATGATGTCTTTTTCTATTAAATCAAGCAGTTATTTCTCCTTTCATTGTAAATTGTGTTAGGTTCACTGGTATTTATTTGTAATGTATGAGTATACATAAATATCTTTTAAATATTTTGTTACTGATGTGTGTGTTTGTATGTGTATGCATCTGCCCATGGAGATCAGAAGGTTCTCTCCTATCCCTTGGAACTGGGTTACAGGTATTTATGACTTGCTTTACATGGGTTCTGCCTTACATGGGATCTGGAATCCAAACCCTCATACTCCTGACAGAGCAGTGAGCGCTCTTAACCATGCAAACATTTTTCCAACCCCTGTATAAACATCTTGTTTTAAATCAATTGTGTTTAATGGGCATGGTGGTGCTCCCTTTTAAATCAGCACTCTAAGGAAGAGGCTGTTGATCTGAGTTTAAGGCTAGCCTGGTGTACAAAGCAAGTTTCAGGCCAGCCAGAGCTACATAGACCCTGTCACACAGAAAAGTCAATAAATAAATAAATTAATAATAAATAAAAGCTAATTATTTGACAAGGAAGGATTTTGCAAACTTCTATTTCCATGTGGACATGTGCATGCAAAGGATGATTCTGATGTGAGCTCTCCCCATTCTGCTCAGCTTCTAGTGTCCCCTCTCTTTCCCATGTGATGACTGTCACCAAGATGTCACAGAGGTGTGTGGGGATTTACATATTCTGTCTACATTTTCCCACATACTGATGTAGTTGTTTGTTCCTTTGAAATGTAATTTTTGTTTGGTTTGGTCTCTTGAGACAATGTCTCATATACCTCAAGCTGGTTTCAAACTTACCATGTAACTTTGTCTCTCCTGGATCTCTGCCTCCACCTCTCCAGTGCTATGGTGAACCACCATGCCTAGCCAATTTTGATTGTTAGAATACATCAAGGAGAAAAAAAAAATACAAAATAGACAATACAAAATCAATTTAAAATTGGTTTAGGGTGAGGACATGGTTCTGTGGATAAGACACTTGCTGTGTAAACATGAGGACTTATATTTCATTCTCCACTACATACATAAGAAGCTGGGAATGGCTGAGTTTACCTGTACACACCTCTCCACCCTACCAGGAAGGAGATACTTTGGTCAGTAGGAAACGACCGTGGATTGCTGGCCAATCATGGCCGTTGTGTTGGTGTAAACTGCCCAATGACAAGTGTCGGCTTTAGGAGCGGAAGCCTGCTTGCTCAGCACTTTCCAGCCTGCCACATCCAGGGATCTATGTTTTCTGCGGAGAGACTTCAGGTTTCTCCGTTGGTCTCTGCATCACTCAGGTTTCTTCATTGGTCTCTGCGTCCCTCCACGGACTGCGGAGCCACAGGAGCCCAGGACTCCGTCGCTGGAAATGGTGCGTGCGGCCGGGCGTCCTCTCCTGGGTGTCGCGCCGAGGCTGCTGCAAGCGGAGGTGGGGACGCGGCCTCCCCGCGGCAGCTCAGTCTGCGGCTGAGTCTCCTCTGGCTCGGCTGGGCCTCGCTCCCGGGTCCCGCTGGGTGGAGCTGGGCCAGCAGCAGAGCCGCGGACCTGGGCACTGCTGAGCGCTCACTGCAGCGGGGTGGCCCTGGGTCCGCAGCATATTATGTGAAACTTATTAAGAAGCAGGTTTGTCTTTTTTCACAGTGTCAGAATTTCTGAATAATCAATCAATATGGGCGGTTTTGGTTTTATTGGCCGCGATTTGCTAAGCCTGATTTTGCTTGCTAGCTGGCTGTTGGCAGTCACAGGTTGTTATAATCCTATATTTATTATTAATATTAACTGGCAGGTCACGCATTAACATTTCGTACAATAATAGCAAACAGGCTCCTAGACTAGAGAACTGTGTGGTCTGAGGTCATCCTGTTACAATCGCACACTGTTATGTGCTGGCTCAGGCTAGGGAGGGTGAAGGATCACAGGCCTAATTATTTTCTTAATCCTGGCTAATTGTACTATAGGTTACCTTAGAGGTTCATTTAATCAAGGAACATCAGTACTCAAAGTACAAGATATGAATATTGTTGTTAGAGACTGATGTCTTTTGTATGATTTGGATAAGAAAAGTTAACCCAAATCTTTGAGTATCCCATACAAGGGTAAAAAAAAAAAAAAAAAAAAATAATTGCTTCAACGTGGGCAGAAGTATGAGTGTCTGAATGTGTCATAGAACTTTTAATGGCTGTGCCAGCTCTCTAGCTCCAATTACAGGTCATTAGGGCAGATTCTACTGTAACAAGAAATGTGGGCAGCTGCAGCAGCTTGACCATTGTATTCAGGAGTCATTCCTTATGGCCACTATCAATGGTAACATGGTAATCTAATCATCTGGACCCAGTTAGTTTTCTTCCTTTTTCTTCACTGGGAAAAATTTCTATTGCTTTGGATATAGGGGTTTGGTTCCAAAACAGAGATAGCCCAAAAAGGAAATTCCCTTAGGCAGATTAAAATTAGTGTTCTGCCAGTCCAAAATCTGAAATTTTTCTCTATTCAAATTATACTGAATAATTAGGGAGTTCTGTCCTGAAGGTAATGAAAAAAAATCTGACTTGCTTCAAGTAAGATGGGAGGTTTAGGTAAACAGGGAGGCATAACAAAAACATGTTTAACAAATGAATATAGCACTATAAAAGTTAAATTCATCATCTAAAGAAGTATAATAATTTTCGAATTACTCAGAAAATTTCACATATATATACATTCATGTGTGCTTGTGTGTGTGTGTGTGTGTGTGTGTGTGTGTGTGTGTGAGCGAGCTAGGGTTTTAGTTCATTTACTTATGGTTCTTGATTGACAACATAGTTGAAGGAGAGTATCATCCAGTCTTTCTGAAGTCCATGTGGATGTGTTCTCAGGAGGAGCTAGTGCATATTTGAGATGGGAATTATAAATTCAAAAGTTCACCCCCTGAAGTTTTGCAGCAGAGGTAGATAAAAGTACCTGATAGTTAAAAGTACCCGATAGTTCCTTTCTAGCGAGGCTGGAGGGAGTCCTTGACGTGGTGTCTTTTCCAATAGATGAAATCACCTGGTTTTAGTTTGTTCAGTTCTTCATCTTCTGGGAGCTCACTGCAGAAAGATACTGCAACTAATTTGGAAGTTTTAGTCACCATTTCCATAAGTCCTTTACAATAGTGCATAATAGCTCCCTTTAACAGAGATGGTTCATAATAATCCTTCATCCATTCTCATAGGGCACCCACTGACTATTTCGAAAGGAGATGATGTTTTCCAAAAGGGTAGATATAAAATGTAGGTGAACTAATGGAAGCTTTTGACCAAGGAAGGCCGAAAGTTAACTTTGCCAATTGGTTTTTTTTTTATAGTGCCATATGTTCGTTCAACTGATCTAGAGGATTTAGCAGATCATCTACATACTGAATTAAAACAGATTCATACAAAAATTGTACATCTTGTAAATCAAAATTAAGGACCTGAGAGAAATGTGTGAGATTTTCAGTATAGCCCAGAGGCATCACAATCCACGTACACTGTCATTCCGCCCACATGAAGGAAAACAAATTGGCTATTTGCTGCAACAGGGATGCAAAAAAAAAAAAAAAAAAAAAAAAAAAAGTGCTACAAAGATCTATTACTGAAAACCAAGCTATATATAGAGGAATGCAAGATAACAAGGTGTGGGGATTAGGCACTATTGGATGTCGAGGGATGACTATTTTACTTATGGCCTAGAAGTTTTGTACAGCTCTCCATCCATTTAGCTCCTTTTGGGTAATTTTGGAGTATTACAAGGGTTGGTGCAAGGGATTATAAGCCCTTTTTCTCTGTATTATTCAGTGATGGGTGTGATTCCCATTAAGGCTTCCTGTCTCAAAGGATATTGTGTTTATATCTGGCAGGGGTTTGCTTTTATCTATTGTTATCTCAATGGGGGCAGCTGATCTTATTCATCTTATGTCTGTTGAAGACTTTGCCCATGATTCTTCTGGTTCTTGTAAAAGGAGGTGATCAATTTCCTCCTGTGGGGTCTTTTCTGATTCCTTTATAAGTGGCATGGAGAAAATAGGGAACTGGAGATATTCATTGTCCTCTAAATTTAGAAACATCTCTCCCTTTTGGGAAAAGGCGGTATGAGCATTTTGCATTTCTAGAAAGTCATGTCCTAACAAATGGATAGTGGCACCAGTAGAAAGGTATGATAGCCTACAGTTTATTTCTCCTAACTGAAATTTTATAGCGTTTGTCTTAAAGGCAGTTATGGGTAGGTTAGAAACTCCCACCATTTCATTTTTACTCTGAGGGAGAGAGTTTTTTAAACATGGTGGGATTTAAAACAGATAGACTAGCCCCACTATCTACCAGGGCCTTTGTTTCCTCTTCATTAATAATTATTTCTATTTCTCCTAAGATGTTAGTAAGGAAAAAAGGAAAAATTCTGGATTTCCTCAGAGCAGCCCTATTCCAGCCTGGTTTTTCTTTCAAAGTCTCTTCTGGGAAGCCTCTTGTTCCTTTTGGGAGAGCACCCATTTCAGTTTCTTACAATCCCTTTTGAAATGGCCAGGTCTTTTGCAAAAGTTGCAAATTATTTTGCCTTTTTCAAGATAGAAGGAATTTGTAGATCTCTCTGCTGGGAGCTTAACTGTTTTAACTATAAGCTCATAATCTGGGTAGTGATATCCTTTTCCTTTTTTATAGTAGTTCTGGAAAGTTGGTCTGTTGAGGTAACAAGGGTATCTATGGGAAGCGAGGCCCAGGTTCTATTATTGTGTTTGACTAAAGCGGCCAGCACATCTTCTAGCCCTTCCATAAATGCAGAATTCAAAAGGCATCATTCTTATGATCCTCAAAGTTCTCAGGAGGAAATCTTGAGTGCTGTTTAAAAGTTTTTGGAAAACAGTCGGGCATGGTGATGCACGCCTTTAATCCCAGCACTTGGGAAGCAGAGGCAGGCGAATCTCTATGAGTTTGAGGCCAGCCTGGCCAGCTGGGGCTACTCTTTTGGCATAGAATTTTGTTCCTCTTGAGATTTGCTAAAATCCTTAGGGAATTCTTACTGTCCCCTTGAGAAATGCTAGGTAATACTTTTCCATCACTAGCAAGAAGAGTGGGAGGGGAGAATGATGAACAAGGAGGAAGTTGAAGATTTTCTGATAGAGGAGGCAATGGTAGAGGAGGATAGGTGGGAGCAGAGGGTTGAGAAGTGTTAAGTTCTTCAGCAATCATCTTTAGTTTTGACAATCTCCTGTCCTTCAATATCTTTTTTTAATTCTGGTAGCATTTCTAAGAGCCTTTTATTCATTTCCTGTAAGTTAGAAATTTTATCATTTCTTCTCTTTGATGCTTCTAAATTCCAGTTAAAATAGGCTAATGTGAAAAAAAAGTTCCCAGAAAGAACTCCTGCGCTTGGACTGAACTTCCTGCAAGGCTGACCACCTGATTATCACTCAGGAGACTGTGGAGAGTTTGGAATGTTTCAGGTTCAGAGTCTAATTACCATTTATCTCAGGCTATCTTTAGCCCCCTAAACAGCCACTCCTTACCCACCTCTGTTTCTGATCTAACATCCTGTGACTGACATAAAAATCTTTTAATGTCTGGACACATACTCACTTATCAGGATTTGGTTCTAGAAAAAAAAAAAAATCTTTTAGAAGGTATTAACTTAGCAGACCACCAGCTCTCACCAATCCAAAAGCTAAGAATGTCAGCAGATAGCATCTGAGACCTATAGTAAGAACCCTCCCCCTTTGCTGCAACCCATCTACTGAATGTATCCTCCAATGTATTTGAAAAGTGTCTTGATTTATGACTTCTTTGTTCTGTTCCTATAAAAAAATAAGACAACTGTTACCACGCTGGAACATGGAATTTGGGGTAACCTGAATCTGTATTCCTGGGTCATGGTCACTCATATTTGGCTCCAAAATAAACCATCTCTTATCCCCTTTGAGGTGAGTTATGCTTTTGTGTCACCACTACCTAGTCCCATTGCCTAGGATTTCTAGTTTTGTGCACAAAAATACCAATTTTGGAACATCAAAAGTTCCTCATTGAGGGAACAGTGAAGTCAAGCTATCTTTGATTAGATCTCCCCATTTCTCTAAATACTTTTAAGTTAAAAGTCCATAATTATCATACATAAAGCCAACTAGAGTGCCAGATGGCAGTTTAAAGCCTCCCAAAACAGCGCTACCAACTGGGGACATTTGGAGCCTATGGGGGACATTCTCATTCAAACCACCACATTGAGAAAAGTTCTTTTTATTTTATTTTATTTTTTTATTTTATTTTATTTTTTTATTTTCTCCTGACAAATTGCAAGCCTTTCTATTCTAGCTAGGGAATATGTGTTCTGGTTTATGTGCTGCTTTTGGGATGGACTTTTTCAGTTTTTACCCTGAGACCATCTTCTCCC